GCGAAGAGTCTCGAAGTTCAACATAAAGCGGGTAGATAAGGGCGTTCGTACCTGACCACAAGCTGTCTGCCAGACCTGACCTCTTGCGAGTTGGTCGCCTCTCCATGTCGCGAAATAGAGCTTCACACCTTCACCCGCATTCTCAAGCGATACGGACCTACCGATCAGCACAATGGTGACAACAATAGGCAGGCCCATCGTAAAGTACACGACGCGGCCAGTGAGCCCGACGCCGCGGAAAATGGAGATATACATGAGGAAGAAGGTGAAGGCCGCCCATCCGGTCGTCTCCCCCAATAGAGCGGTACCGGGATACTCGGTGTAGTTCAAAACGCTGCTGCCATCTGCCGTTAGATTGCCCTCGATTGGGTCAACGTTGGCAACGACCTTTCGGTTGAAGAAGTAATCGGGCTCGTTGGTCCATGGTAATGGGCTGGTGAAGGAATGTCGGAAATAGCTCATAATCCACGCCAAGTTGACGACGAAGTATGGCGTGACAACAAAGCCAACGTAGATCAACGATAGTCCCAACCCCTTCAGTCTCTGGTTGACATTCGCGTAGGCCACAACACTACCACCACGGTAGGCCTGTCCAATGGCAATCTCGAGTACGAGAACCGGGATAGCAACGATGAAAACGGCCATCAGATATGGGATGTACCACTGCAGGCCATGGTTGTTGTACACCTGGGATGGGTACCGAAGGAGGTTGCCCATTCCGGCGCAGCCACCCATGGATGCTAGAAGAAAGGAGGCCCTTGAGGGCCACGCATCACGGCCGTCTTCTGCTTTGTTCGGCGGAGGAGCAAACCAGCCCCCGATTTTCTTGAGCGCGTCCATCACCACGTGTCGATGCTTGCGGCCCGAGAAAGACGCAGGTCCGGTCCGGTCCGACGGAAGAGGCCGGCTTTCGTTCGGCGAGAGTGCGATATCAAGGTTGCAGTTTTGGTCGTCAACATGTGAGTGCAAAACAAAGTATGAGATGCGACTGGCTTTGGATGATGAAACCCTGAGGGACAAGAGATCGCCTTGAGTAAGATGGTCCGAGGTGGAGAAGAAAAGGACAGGAGAGGAAGAAAGCTTTCTCAGTGCCTTGGTACGTACCAGACCGCTCGTCGATGCTTGTCTACTTATTGAGTTCGAGAAATATTGAACGCGACCCGGCTGGACTGCAGAACTTTCACTTTTCGCCCGCCGCCAGGAGGCGTTCATCCCAAGCACGCAATCTTGCTTTTCAGTCCACGCTTCGTGGGGTTCACGAAAGACCACTCATAAGCGCGACGCGCTGTGGTAAGTGGAGAATGGATATAAGGTCTTGGAATTACATAGGACAAGAGATTTAGCGAATCCTCCATCAGCCGTTTGTCGTGGCATCGCGGGTGGGAGCTGGGGGCGGAGATGCGAGACTATCCCGGTCTCCCAAGGCTCGGCGGACTTGGCGACAAGGCCATAGAGGGCGCGAGAGGCACCGGTATCCGTCCGGCCAAGACCGAGGACGGAGCCAAGGGCGTCGTTCGGTCGAATCACCGGAGCGGGATGACGCGAGCGCCCCACTATGCGGCGTCCCGGTCTGACATACAGATTCGCAAGGGAAAACATGCTGTTGGTTTGTCGTTCGGCTGGCCGTGTTATTGTGAGACCTTGACGTGGGGTGATGGACGAACGAGGGGCAAAAGAGAGGTCTGGAGAAGATGTGATTCGGGGAAAGAGACATCACTCACACACTGATTTCTTCAACGTTGAATGCTACCGTTCAGCTGCCCACGTCATTGAAGACTTCTCGGAGTGAGCTCCAAGCTTGATGGATCGCATGGCGCAAGGCTCTGTTGAACCCTGCCATTCCGCCTACCAAGTTTTTAAGTGAGTCTACTTAAGGCTCAAAGCCGTGAATGGCCTGGATCTCTTGATCCAGCGCGAGAAGCCACCAATATTACAGGTACAGGGGATGTAATGAGGGGGAAGTGGAAGCTAGCTCCACTCGAGGTGGCTCCAGAGTTCTTCACGCTTGTGTCAACCTGTCAAGCAGACATCGCCGCAGTGTGTCAGTCTAAGCTTCAGTGCATTTCTGCAAGACCCCACCACAAATATCTCATGCTGAAATTCGCGGCCTCTCAACGTAGGGTAAATCACATTTACGGACTGGACAATCAGGATTTGGAGCAAATAGGATGATGGGACCTTTCACCGTGTAGTGGACCTCGACTTTCATGTTGCTAGTCGGAATTTCTCCGACTTGGCATTTGCCAAGCAAGTCAGGATTTGCTGCCTGTACGACGTCAGACCATCAGCCCACTTGATAAGTAGACGAGGATTCACGAAGTCTCTTGATCAAGATAGTGCAAAAGTGGGGTTTGCAAGTTTTGAACGCAAAACCAATTGCGTGGTGAGAGCCGTGTCATTCAGACACATGAAAGAAGAAGCTTTTTGGACCTAAGAAGGCAAGGTATTGTCCTAGCGGAGAGGGAGAGGAACTCTAAGATATAGAGTCATGATATAAGCAGGAAATTTTCGACTGTCTTGGGTTCCAACCCAAAGAGTCATCAGAGACAATGTATACACAGGGTCTATAGATAGTAGATATTTACAGAAGATGTACGAGTGGTATGGTGCTGTGAGCTTGGCTTTAGGCATGGTCAATCAAAGACGGACCCGCCTCGATGGGAAAGGTCAAAATGTTGTGAGGACCATCGGCCATTAGTCCGTTCGCCCCGGGCCGCATCTGCGAGGCGGGAAGCCAAAGGGTCTTGTTCGCATCCACCCACATCAGATCGGTCCACACCAGAGCATCATCCTGAACAAGGATGGACGAAGTTCCGTCCGGTTTGACTTTCCAGATAGCGAGGAGGTTGGTGTCGCTAACATAGATGTTTCCGTCTCCGTCAATAGTGGTGCCCCCAGTGGAAGGGGTCAGGGCGAATGGCTCAACGTAGTCTCCGAGGTTGGCAGCAAGAGTGCTGTTCGTCAAGGCTCCGTTGACGTATTCGGTCTTAACGCGGTACATGCCACCGTTGCAAGGCTGATAGTACAGGTAGACACCATCAGGAGACACCTCAATCTGATCGAGGCCAACGGAAAGAGTGCTGGTTCCGCCCTGGTACCCCGGCACAAGACTACCGTTGTAGGCCATGGGGAACCAGGCCAGAGCCGAGCTGTGACCCACGAGTACACGCTGACCTTGACCAGTGGTAAGATCCATCACCACCAATGCGCCAAGTGTATCGCTGAGATAGGCGTAGTTTCCATTGAAACGGACATCGTCGATGACACTACCGGTCTCTGTAAGGTTATCGAGATAGTATGCCTTGTCGACGAGGTTGCTCTCGAGGTTGATGCCAACGAGCTTGCTAGATCCATTGATAAGATTGCGATCACTATCAGTGGTACCGCCGTCGACGATCCAGAATCGTCCATCGGGGCCGATGCGAGCACCATCAATGCTGACAAAGGCCTTCTTGGGGTCCAGGGTGGAGTTTGAGGTCCAGGAGTTCCACGTTGAGTCGGGGTACAGAACAGTCGTGCCGTTGCTAAGAAGCTCTACGGCTTGAGGTGCATCCGTCGTAGAATATCTCTGCGTCAAGAATTTTCGTCCATCAGTCGAGATACTGATGCCTTGAGTTGCGCGGTCCAAGGTAAGGGCGATTTCAAGACCGGGTGCAAGAGCTGAAACGAGCTGCACTGTTAACGCCAACGTGGCGAGAGTAAGAGAACGACCCCTCATGGCGAATTTTTCGAGTATAGGAAAGAAAGGAGTGTTGGAATATCCCAGAAAATCTGGCTAGGTAGAGTTCCATGGTGTCCAAGACAAGCTTATATACGCAATGGTGTAATAAGCTGTTGTACTCGTAGATGACGCGTCGGGTGTATCTTCAGCCCCATCCCCCTTTTCCAGCCTGTCGTTAGTGTTCAACGCACTGAGCTATTATTGGGCTGATTATCAATCAAGCCTTTCGCGTACAGATAGGTTAGGGCAAAATCTGTGGTCTGGATCAGTCAAGATATTAATTGTAGCCATAACATGAGGCGACGCGGAGCAGCCCGCGATGCTCGGATGAGCCCCACGTTCACGGTGCGGAGCCACTCGGGCCTCTAGCCGTACGGTTACCGGGCGCATGAATAAGGGGATCAACAGAGCTAACCGAATCATGAAGTTTCGGTACGACATAGTATTGTAAGGCCAGCTCGTCTTTCTTCTGTAAATGGCAGTTTCGAGATGAGAGGGGTTAACAGCCGAGGCATTCGGCCGAGAGCAGGAATCAAGCTGCGCACATACCACAGGAGATTGCGCTGTCGTAGCCTTCCTTTCACGGCGCGATTCCATCCATCCTTTGCTCATTCTTTCCGGAGGAGCCGTCAACATCATCCAAAGGCAAGGATATGCAACTATTAGCGTGCGCTTATTGGTCTGTTTAAGCAAGAGAAGACGGAGAGGTCTCGGTCAGCTTTAGGTCATGATTTCCCAACAACATGGGTGTGAATAGAAAAGAGGGATCATTGTACTCGGCTGAAACACCTAGGTAGTCTAAGCCTCTAAAGTAGAGAAATGGATGCCGGAAACTTCGCCAGAGATATCGGCTTCTTCAACAGTGGAAGTATGTAACTCATGTCACTATGCACAATTCAAATGTGACCCTGCTTTGCTTAGATTTCTAGACTTCAATTTGTGTTCCGTATTATAGACGGAAGTTATGGTCGCTTCAAGTTGCCAATGCATTCGGTAGTTGCAATAGAGTTTTAAGTTTACTGAAAGTAAGGACTGTAAATTTGTGATTGCAGGCAAGCCAAAAAATGATAGGTCGAATAGGAAATGTGAGTATTGACAGCTCTCCCCCTCTTTCCCTTACTCAAGGTATTCTCCCACTATGATATCGCCTTTCCTCATGGCAGAAAACCATAAGCTGGCATGCCAAGGTAACTGAGCGAAGAAAGTACGATCTCTAGTGTCTAGCGTCATTCTTGCAGTGCACGAAATTCATAGAGTTCCTCTGATCTGGGTGACCGCCCTAGCATGGTGCGTACCCAAATTGGACACTCCAATCATCATCGGTGTAAGCTTCACCAGAGGACCACCAGTAGTGTTTATCGACGTCGGTGCATTCGTGATAGATCACTTGTACGCCATCGGCAATTTCACCGAATGAACTAAGCTCCTTCTCCTCCAGAGCCTGAATTTTGTCAGCAAAAACCCTACAACCCTCATGAAGGAGAATTGAGGAATAAGTTTGGTGGAGAACCCACATCATTGCACCACCAAGTCGCGCTCTTCCAAGCACAGCTAACGCGGCCACATTCTCTCGGGCCAGCAGAGTTCTTCGGTTTCCCTGGAACTTTCCTGAGGTATTCCATGGTCGTCTCATACATGTCGGTGTGACCCTCCTCTAAGCTCTGGCAATCGACCCTGGGAAATTTGGCGCGCTTCTCCACGTCACTACGAGCAATATTCGAAATTGCTTCAAGGTCGAAGCCATTCATCTGGGCCATCTGAGGATTAAGACTACCGAGGGTAGCATAGACCTCTTGGATTGTACCCTTGATGGTGATGTTCTCTCCTTCTGGAGTCTGAAACTCCCATTCGGGAATGTACAGCCCGTAGCCCTTGGGCACATCCGCGGGAATAACAGCCTGATCAGTTAGCTCTTGCTTCAAAGACTTGGTCGGGTTCAAGCTTACAGCAACAATCATCGTGACTGATGACATCAAATGAAGAAGGCTGGCTCGCATGGTGGGCGTTGCTGTGCAGGTTAGATTTGGATAAAGCGTGTATGTGCTGGTTTGGACCTTGGGATGATATCAAAAGATCTCGTACGAAGGAAGAGCCATCGCTACTTATAAGCCCTAAAATGAACATGAAGCCGTATCTCACATCTCGGCAACCAAAACTCGTATCGAGTATTATTGCTTGACTCCTTTGAAGGACGCAATCGCGACCACCCATGCATGATTGCCTACTAGCTTCAGCTGCTGCATGAATCCAATCCTACATCGAGACTACACTACTCAAAATAGAAAAGGTAATCAATTGATCTTCATGGACGGGTGGTGTCGTAATCTCACTCTACGAAAAATTAAGCAAACCAACAGACATGGACAATTGGCAGACCGTAGAGCACTGTTAAGACTTGATCTCGCAATGGGCATCATTAACTCAAGGGTTTCCGCTCTTTCCACTTCTTTTCTTGGCTCAAAGAAAAGGAAGTTGACGAATCTGATCTTCTTAAGCTTCCCTGCATGTTCCGAGGATGCGTGCCCCCTTAACGATTGATCTCACTGGCCCGCTTAGCAGCTATGATGCAGCCTCTTTGCAACCAATACTTCCAAGAACATCTATCAGACGTCCCAGGCAATCAGAACGAAGATGTACAAAAGAATGACTCCAGCCCTCCAGAAGCATTTGGAAAGTCCAGGAGATTCAAATGGTCAGACTTGCGCGTCCAGCACCACCATCCAACAGAAGCCGTCAAGATATTCTATTCGTGCTCTTCGGATGTCATCGCATCATTCGCCAAAAGCTGCACAATATGTTAAGGAGCAAGCAGACTGTTTTGTTTGTTGGTTTGGCAATGTTAGCAAACGTTGCCAGTTACAATGAAGAGCACGGTGACGTGAGCTACAAGTAGTCGAGACAAACGTCATGTTACACCAGCTTGAAGCCATGATCGCCTTGGAATTCCAGGCTTCAAAGGCATTTACTGGCAAACATCCACGGCCTGCTAATGGATCTTGAACCAAGCTTAGGAGCTGTTTGCGGTCCTGTGGCTGAAACATTTTTACATCACATGAGTGAGCAAATGCATGGTTAAGAGGCGATGGCTGAAAACTGTACCGAAATACTTCAAGTATTGGCAAACGTACTTTTAGTTGCAGCCTGGTGATGGCTGGTTCAATCTCCAACATCCGATCTACAGTTACGAAGGCGGTCCCTTTTTGCATCAATTCTCAAGAGATACTTCATTGATATGGCCATCTGAACCTATCTCCAAGTGTTAAATCTGATCAGTGACACTTTCGTGACTATTCACTCTTGGGCGGTGTGGCTCTGTTTTTGCTTTTTGAACAGTAGGCGTGTTGAATACTAGGTAAGATAGGTAGGCATAGCTCCGCTCGCTACATGCGATGATGATTGTCAAATGAAGCATGCGTCTTCTTCTGATCCTGTATTCAAGCTCCACATTACGTCACGGGCTCTGCCCCTGCGAGCATTAGTCTTCACGTCTCAATACAGGGAACACGGCGATGTTTGCTCAACTTTGAACAAATGGCTTCTTTGTCGATAAGCTTTCAATGATTTGCGGACGGTATTGGTCACGCTGTTGTCCGATTCCATGCATGCTGTAGGCGTGATTTCAATCCAACTTTGACATAACTGGTCATCAAAGTACATACAAGTTTGCAGCGTCGCGTTCCAACTATGTAATGTTTTGGGGTAGCTGTTCGAGGCCTGTGTCTATCAGAAGGATGACGCAGATACTAGGTCGAAGATCCTAGATATATCTATAGGATACTCTGCGATGACTTACCTCAGAAAATACGTGTATGCAAGTATACCCTACCAAACGATCATGGAGGAAAGATTTACTTGCAATTGCTGAGCTTTTCACGCACATAAGGGCTAAAATAATCTGGAAAACAGGATTAATTCTGCGTCGAATATCAGAACACGTTTCCTCGCCCGGTAATGGACCTTGACTTTGGGGGAGTACGTAGCTTTTTTTTGTTCGAATTTGCTCTCGTTGCTCCTTTTACTAATGTTTACCTAAGATTCCAGTTCAACTGGGCGACGATCTCCCTCGACCTCGGCAGCTCGGCTATGGGACGGGAGCTCTACCGCAGATGGCCTTAACGTACACATCTCTTGAGCGTCTCGATCATGATTTGGTGACTTCGTTTTCGAGTCATGGTTTTCTCTCACAAAAGAGTGCTCTCCCCTCCCAACGGCAGTGTCTCTTTGTAGCAGCCGGGTTCCCCGTTCTTGCTTTCTCTTCTTAAGACATATAAACCAGCTACAACCAATGAGAGCCATGAGTATAACCACGATTCCAACTACAATACCAGCAATTGCCCCTCCAGATAACGAGGTCTCTCTGGCACCTTTAACCTGACGAGGCGGAACTTTGCCGTAAAGTGGAAAAACAGGATGATTGATAATGATTGGGCCCCCTCTAGGCAGGTTTGAGAGAAAGACTTTCGTCCAAGATGTCGTAATGGTGCTTTCACTTTCTCTCGTAGTAACAACGTTGTTGATCCACACTTCAGTCGGAGTACTCAGGAGGCTTGTACATTCCCGGTGAGGGATACCACCATTCGAAGCACTGAGACAGCCCCAGCCAGAGGGGCAGCACCAAGTTTGTGCATGCGTTTTTCCACTTGTCTCCGTGACATCCGTGGAACACGCAGTTGTCCACCCGCTAATGCACGCAGTGCCTGGGTAAGCCAAACTCGGGATATCACCTTGATTCGGAAATTGTTAGTACATGTACACCTTTCAAGGCTAACTTTCTGCTTATGGTAGTTTGTGTGGCATGGCTCAAGGAGGTCCTACTGAACTCGTCGAAAGGTCTCCAGATGTTTATGTAACTCTCCGGAAAGCATTGTGTTGGTACCGATGTCGTTGTCTCTCCCACAAATTGTAGACCGTAACAAGTGAAGCCCGATGTGATATCTTCACTTTTGGCCTCTACGCACCGGATAGCTCGAGGTAGTATGGAACAGGTACTATCTCTCGGTGTGAAGGGTGTCGTTTGTGGCTGCAAGGTATACACAGTGGAGAGCTGGTAGCCACCTGTGGAGTAGAAATGGGTTTCCACCAAGGGAGTGTAAAGTGTGGACGTGACTGCCATGTCTTTCTTGGAAGTTTGAATTATCAGAATAAAGGCGACATAATGTCAGTAGTCGATTCCTCGTGACACGAAGAGAAAGTGAAATGGAGACGTGAATAATGCCCTTGACCGGGTATCAGGGTTATGTGGGTTTTTGAATTCGGTTCTTTAGGATTCAGCGATCTGGACGTCACACCGCAGTGAGGCCCGCGGGGAAATAGTAATGCGTTGTCAGCCACATCTGATTGGATATGGGCTCGTATCGAGATCATTCGGAACGAAAATGAGGTTATCTAGCTGCATGAGGTGGTGGCAGGTAACACTACACAATCATCACAGGGATCCCGACACTTAGAAATGGAAGTTCATCACAGCTCAAGAGCAAAATAGTCGGAAACATGCTTGACATATTCAGATCGGCGACATGAAATATAGGGGCGTGTCGGGCTTCAAATACGCCCAAGGGCTTCGGAACGTCCAGGCCGAATGTCGGAACCTTCCAAGTGTAATAAAGTGACGATAAACTATGCCTTGTACCGGAAACTTCGCCCGGTAAGCTTCTTGGTTCCAGCTCCCGCAGACGGATGCAATCTCTCCTCTCTATCAAGCCTCCTATTATGCATCTCGATGTAAAGCCAAGTTGTCGAAAGGATGGCAAATGCAATTACGACTAGGATCATGCTGATCGTCATGCCATTCTTGTAATACGGGCCGTCGCTTGTCTTAAATATCCAGGCTGAGATGTAGCCTGATGTGTTCCCAACTCCAACCACAAAGCCGCTCCCAATGGCTCGCTGGAAAGGCGTCTGCAAGTTTTGCATAGTCAAGATCCAGATCATGGGAAGAGTGATGAAGGTGCCGAAGGCGATAAAGTACAGCGCCATCATGGTCACATTTGTGCTTTCGTGTTCATCTTGCCTCAAGATTGCGTAGCCAACGATGGTGAAAATGAAGCCGCCAAGGCCGAAGGCCGCGCGGTGGTTGAGACGGTCAGCTGCGTAAGCAGTTGTAAGACATGCCACAGCAGCCACCACGAAGATGGGAACAATCTGCGCCTGTACATCTGCAGCGCTGAGCTCCGGGTGAAAGGACTTGACAAAGGACGGAGAAAAGATGGAAACTGAGTAAGCGGTTGTAGTCGTGAAGCAGTAGAGGGCAGCCCAGCAGTAATTGAGGGGGTTTGTGAAAAACATTTTCCACTCTGCTACAACACCGATCTCTGTGCTGCGTATTTCGACTGAATTTCTGATAAGTCGCTTTTCTTCTTCCGTCAAGAACTTGGCCTTCTCCGGAGGTCCAACATTAGCAGGAAGGCAGGCCAGAGAAGCTACCACAGTGAAGATACCCTCAATAATAAAGATCCTACGAGATGTTAGAGCCGTTTCGAAAAATAATGCGGGGATTGGAATCGTACCATCTCCACCCTTTGAAATTCTCAGTGGTTTGGATGTTGGCGATTGCGTATGCAAGAAAGTTCCCGGCAATATTTGAACAGATATTGGCGACAGTAATCAGTCCAAGTCTCCATTGAAGATGCCTTGGAGGGTAGTAAAGAGAACACAAGAAGACGCAGCCAGGGATGAGACCTGCATCGAAGACACCAACGAAGAATCGGGTGGCTATCATCTGATCGAATGTCTTGACGAATCCTTGGCCGATCGTGATTATACCTGTACTTATCATTAGCATGCACATCAACACAGCTCGTTCATGATAGCCGAAGCTTCTGCGTTCAATTTTACAATAACCCCCCGCATAACACGACTCGGTGACAAATATAGACTTACCCAGTAATATGTCGAGAGTACACATGTACCACAAGTATGGGAAGTTGTACTTGCGATTCAGAAAGCGCATAAGTAGATTACTTGGCACCTCGAATAGGATCAACGGCGCCGCTGGCAT